TAAAGTTCCATGCTCAACCCGCAGCTTTGTTGTGATCTAGATTTCTAGAAGATTCTACGTTCGCTAGAAGCCCCAATTTGATTAAAAAAGATACAAATTTGTCTACCGTCATCAAGATCAGTTTAAAAAACAGTAAATCGATTTCTTCGACGATTTGTTCACAGTATCCGGGTGAAATCCTTTGAGAGCTTGAAACACGAGCTAGAGAGTGGACATTGGATTCAGGGCTCAGCGAATTTTTCTACGTGCTCTACACATATCACTGGTCTCCTGGAAATCATGAACTTGGACTTTCAAAGCTTTGAAAATTATCGCATCGGTAATACGAAGTACAGTGATACCTCGGTTAATATACTCAATCCTCTCCAAAGCTCAACCCAACCATTCGGGAGGTCTATTAATCGAGTAATATACATAGTTCATTGATTTCAGGCCCTAGAAAAATCCGTGCTTGAACAATGTGAAGTACGGTATGGCTTATTTGTTCCAGGACCTTTGGAAATTTTCGTTGTTTGAAAAAAATAAAATAAAATGAAATCCATGATCGAAAAAAATCAGAAAGAGGAAGACAATTCCTAACAAACCTAAAAATGCCATGAAAGCTTTCCGAAACTTGAAAAATATTCTAGCAGCCATATACAGTATTCGAAATAGACTTCGAATTTTAGAAGATTACCGTACTCACTTTTTATGAAATCTGCCCCTCCGTTAGGGGCAGATTTCATACGAAGCAAGAATAGGTTTCAACCTAGTCCATTATCAGGGGTACCACTAATACGCTCAAAAAACGTCGTAAATTGTGAAATCATTAATTATCAAATTTTTGACCCAAATCTGAAGACAGGGAAGAGCAAATTTCAGCCACGATTTACGGAGTCCCGGAATTCGGCTCTTCAGTGGAATTCATCTTCCATTCAATGCTCGGGAACGGGGATCAGGTTGATGTTATTTTCACGGAGCCACGTCTATCGCAGTCATACAAGATTCAATGCAGCTTGGCAAAAAACGTACACCTCGTCACACAGCGATGTAAATTGATGAAGATAAATTCGAACGTTGAATAATTTGACTGAACACACAAACACGCACTTTTCTTGCAGTTAACGATGCGGAAATGCTGGCGGAAAATGCGACAGATTCAGGGTTCGGCAAATCAGCCACGGTGCTAATTAGGACGGAAGCATGTGGCAACAGAAACGAAAGCGACGATTCTCTCTCCAATACCGTCAGTATATCTTCGTACTACAATATTTTCATTAGTGACCTACAGTAAAAAAAAAAAACTTGATACAGCACAATTGAATCTCAAAATAAATCTTACTACAACGTAACCTACAAGAATTGATTCATGAAATGCTGCATTGATCATTTAAATCTGGGTGCAGGGACAGTAAGGCCGGTTACGTTTTAAAATACATGATTAAAGATGAAAATAACGTAATAAAAGAACGAGAGAACATTTAAAAATTTTAATAACCCACGCTAAAAATATTTTCCATTTCGATTTCGGACGTTTTCACTCAAGAGTATACCACGTCCAGAAAACCGTCAAAGTTGGTTATGGCCCAAACTAGCCCAATTTTTTTTTTTAATCCGTCTGTCAAATTTTTCAAATTTACAGATCAGCGCATGGAAAGTTCCTCAATGGATGACATCGCAAACAGGCGAACTAGCACTTGAGAAACCATACCCAGAAATTGCATCAGGTAAGGAAATATTTCTAATTTTCAAAATACTGTAATCTTTAAGACCACCACAGAGACAACTTTTACAGATCTTGGGCCCAATCCTGACACGACCAATCAATCCATCACGATATTCGAAGCATCGTCCAGGTTTGTGAACAGTAGTCCATTTTTAAAAATAGTTAATGTGAACAATGTGATCTTGATTCTTGAAGGACTGTGAGCATCAATGACTGGAAGAACCTCACAAAAATTTGGAATGATGGCGGCATCTTCACGGTAGAAATAAAACTCGAACAATGTAAGAACTTGGGAATAAATGCTCAAGAACATCAAGGACGACAAGAAACGATTGCTTTCACGATTTTGAGCAGCTATTTGAGCAGTGAAGGTGAGAAGAAGAGAGATACTACTCAAGTTTTCGCGATTGGGCTGCCCATTAAGAGGAAAAAGGAAACCTTTTTATCTTAGAAAATAAGAGAACTTCAGTTCTTACACCTCAATGAAAATTCAATTTTACAATACTCCATTATGATTTGAAAGAATTGACCAAGTCGAAAAACAAAAACTTTCAGAAAGGCAATATTCTTGATTTTGGAGAAGCATATACAATTTACATTTTTGTTAGATTACAAGTATATAATTTTCTGTACAGTACATACTTTTTAAAATGAGGAATCCATACTGAAGAAAATTTATCCAAGAAATTCGTTCAAAAGAATATTTGAAATCTCACGAACATCAGACTTGTTTCATGTACAGTAACTTGTTGGCTTATAGATTCCTTTTTTTTAAATCATTCAAAAGAATCAAAACTATGAAAAAACTTATGAAACAAAGTCACTTAAACTTCATAAAAATTAATTCGGTGCATCCAATTCAATTTTTAGAATGGCAGCCCAACAGCGGGAATTTTATGCAGGATCATTTATTGTATTCAGCTGGCTCAAATACTTTCTGATCACAAAACGGGAAATGCTTTATTCAGAGTACATTGGTGCATCGAAACCCGGAGTTACTCATTTTGAAGAAGAAACCTGGATAACGCAGCATTTCATCATCATCACGCTGAATAATGGAAGCGAGACGATTTACGTGAACGCGCTGAAGTTCAGTGCGAACAACTACGATTTCCAACAGCTCCAATCACAGTTTTACGACTGCGGTTCATTCCTAGATTCCAGCGTCGTTCTGGGGTATAATGTCGGACCACCAGGTGTCAGTCAATAAATCAACAGAAAGAAGTGCATACCTGTCTTTCAAATTCCCTCGGTGTCTTCCTTCAACATTTGGAGGTTGAACATGTGCCGGATCGTTGGACGACCATGAGGACAGTCCTGAAAGATCAGGAAAAATATAATACTGTTTATTTATACCATCTTCCTGAAACCCAGAAAAAATATAAATTGATACCAGGAGGAAGTGAAACCATGAATTTGCAGTGCTTTGAAGATATTTCGACGTTGGAAATGAATCGAATGTTTTCAAGATCGACGGCTGCTTTCGAGTTTTAATGTATGAATTGTTTGAATCACGTTCGATTTAAGGAATTAGCTTTGATTTATTTATTTTTACTTTTATCATTTTAATATTAAACGTCCCAAACTTTTGGATCACGATCTTATTAAACGTAGCCTGAATTTACCTACATTTGTAGGAAGGAACAAGTAGGAATCCCTCAATCTGTCCTATTATATTAAATAAAATTCCTCTTACTGTTGAAAAATTACTTTTTTCGGACCATGGAATCCTCTTGTTGGAACACACTAGCAGCAACTAGTGCAAAAAAACCAGGTCAATTCACATGACATTTTTCAGCTCAACATTTTGATAAAATCCTATCCCCAAGTGAAACCCGCCCCCCATTTTCAGCAAATTAAAATTGCAATACTTCGAAAGTTCATAATTTGAATTTTGACAAGAATTAAACCTGAATCCAATCAATGTTCAATTTTGTATGTACAGTATATAAAACATACTATTAAAATGGGTCAACAATTTCTTATTAGAATTAAGTATGACGCGCATCTGAACCTCTGAAATGCTTATCTGATTTCATACCCGTCAATAACGCGCACCCCATTTTATTCCTCTGATTTGTGTGAAAATTTACTGACGTAGAAAAAAAAACCCCACCCAAGGACTGTCCATGGACGACATGTTGTCTAGAATTCTTCTCATGTCACTGAATCGCAAATCCATCCCGATTCTCACAGCCGTGTGACACGCTCGGTATGCAAACATACGCCACATGGCAGCTGGTTTTGGTCCGCAGCTACCAGTCCAAATCGTTCTGACATCATCCCCGTCATCCGAACCACCGCCCAACTGAAAAATCATCTCTTCGATTTCCTTGACGCCGAAAACGCATTGTTTACTGTGCGGGACTTGGACTATTTTCACTCGGCGACCAACGCGTTCTAAATATTGAAAATAAAATAAAAAAAGAACGTTGAAGTTGTTCAAACTTTTTTTGAAAGATAAATGCACGGGTTACTCACCGTCATCGTCGATCAAGAAATCATAGCCCAATTTTTGGAAACAGAGTAGATTGTCCACCAGGATGGCCTCATTGCTCAACGTAAGCTCCATTTTTATTGGCCTGTGGAAATTTTACTTCCAAACATCAAAATGATTCGAATTTCCAAAAAAAAAGGAGGGCTTAGAATGTTGAGTGTCCACGAGGTTAATGATCAGTTGGTAAAAAACAAACACAGAATGGATTCAAAATTTCTTACTGTATAATGATAGGGTCACATTCGCAGTTACGTAATTTTCATGGAAAAGGATTTAGAAAATTTTCGTAAGGATTAAGAAATTCTCACTGCACATTTGGATACAGTAACACTTTTAATTTTGGGACACCTGAAGAAAAACATTATAAAGAAGCCTACGTACGCCATCAACTTTTGTCCGCTTATCTTCGTCTTCTTCTGCAGCTGCTCGAAATTCCACTTCTCGTCACTCGCATGTTGGTCCACAATGAATAGGTCGTCTCCGAAAAGGGCAACAATAAAGCCTTTGTTATATTGCCCGACAATATTCATCTTCTTGAAAGAGTCTTTCGACAATTCACGCTTGAGTTCTTCTTCCGCGCTTACATTTTGACCAGGTTCTATTTTTGCCCTAAATTTCAATTGACATCCACTGTCTGACTGCGAGACGAGAGATGAACTTCTCACTAGCTCGGATATTTCTTCCAGGTTGATGTTCAGAACCATGTCAGCAGCACAGCCATTCATTCTCCTTCCCTGGACAGACACATGCATTCATTTTGTCNTTGGTCCACAATGAATAGGTCGTCTCCGAAAAGGGCAACAATAAAGCCTTTGTTATATTGCCCGACAATATTCATCTTCTTGAAAGAGTCTTTCGACAATTCACGCTTGAGTTCTTCTTCCGCGCTTGTATTTTGACCAGGTTCTATTTTTGCCCTGAATTTCAATTGACATTCACTGTCTGACTGCGAGAAGAGAGATGAACTTCTTGCTAGCTCGGATATTTCTTCCAGGTTAATGTTCAGAACCATGTCAGCAGCACAGCCATTCATTCTCCTTCCCTGGACAGACAATTGCATTCATTTTGTCAGGGTTGGTAAAGACGGACGCAATTTAACAAGGACCTCTACTTGAATATTTCCAGACCACCATTCCAACTGCTGCTCATCGATTTTAAAATTACAGCATCATACATAAAAAGAAAAAGTTTGAATGAAATACTCAATCTTTGAGTATGTTCAACAACAAGAATATTTTCTCTTACTTTTGTGTATATGAATTTGCAGGTGGTCTAAGCGCAGTCAACTATAGTGCTTCAATAAACCGGAAAATCTTCCTAATACAGTGATACCACTTCCACACATGTCACATGCATTCGGACGGAAATATTGTTTTGATCCCAGCAATTCTGATGATGCACTTGGATCTTACTCGGAAATTCCGATTGGTAAGCAAGAAGTTGCGTAAGTCAGATATTAAATTGAATAAAATCCTTCACAAATGAACATAGGTTAGCTTCAAATATTTTCTGCGGAGTAAAAACAACATTTTTTAAATAATACCTCGAATGGAACTCACCTCTGAAGCGTGTTCTCCACTGAGATCAAACAATTTATCATCCTCTTCGCAAGAAGACACCCTGACGAACTTATCCGATAAGATCGGTCCACTTTCCATTTCGCAAGATTTCCCAAGGATTTTGAAAACTATCCTCAAATTTTGATTTTGTACATGGTAACAAGTCAACTGACTCGGGTAAACTAATTTTCGAAATATCCGAAGATTCAGACAGCATTCGGAATTCCAGGGTATTTTCTGATCTTTCTTCCACATAGGTTTGTTCATTCGTGGATGCACGTTCGATTTCGGACGTAGAAGCTTCATTAAGAGTGATTGTACGTTGATCGGCGGAAACAAATTCATCCACTGAACACGCAAACGCAGAAAATCTGTTCTTTGACGAATTATTTCGTTGGGAACCAGTACAGCCAAAAACCTGATCCACTTCAGTCTGTGCCTTGGATGAGGAATCGTCGCACTTCCCAAAATACGTGTCCAATTTTCTTTCTAGCATCAAAAATAAATGAAGGGAAATTATTACACCAACAAGCTTTCGACCATAAGAACTGCGACGATTGCTCACGTTTCGAATTTTCCTTGGCACGGAATTCAAGCGTATTCACAGACAATCGCTTCCGCTCCGACGAGAAACGATGACCAGGAGACGATGAGCTAAACCTAGAAGCAATACTTGCAGCAAAAGTTAGCTTTTCTTCACTATTCTCTTCGTTGGTGCTTTTAGTTGAAGTGACATCGAGAATTGTGCGGCTGCTGTCGATCGTGGGAATTTGTGATGGAATATTCTGATACATTTCGATCAACGACGACTGAAAATATTAGAAAAAGAAAAAAAGTTTGAAGAGAAACGCATTTTTAACCTACACCGGCAGCATAATCTTCAATATCAAACATAGTAAGCGAGAGTTTTTGGAGGTCAACGGAATTTACACGAGCCTAATTGAAAATATAAGATCGTCTCGTACGTACTCGACAAATATATAAAATGTTAATGAAAAGGAAAGAAAGGGTGATTTTAAATTTTTCAAATATGTCCATAGTCACGATTTTATTTGCTTTCACATGTCCCCTGACATCCGTCGTTTACATAGGCTTCGAATTGCTTTATATACGTCAAGTTACGTCACGTCATCTCAGGTTAAGTCAAGTCACGCTTGCTTATTTAACGTCAAATACGTTCCGGTTTAATTGTTTTCGTAAGGTTAAAGATTCAGACAACACCTTGGCTTTCCATGAAGTAAGAGTGAGATTTTGTGTTTTAGGAACGAACGAATGTTTCATCGTAAAAAAAAGACGAAAACTACGCACCTTCACGGTGGCCAAGAAAAGTTTCTCGTGATGCAACATAACCTTCCGTTTGTCCGGCGTTACATTCACATCCACAGCTCCTTTCTTCACAGCGATATTCAAACAAACGAAAGGATACTGATTCCTGTTGAACTGCTGATACACGTTTCGGATCACTTTAGCGATCTGGAGATCCATGAAAATTTTTATGAGCAAAATGTTGTCTTCAGCTCATCATCGAAAGACTTACGGATGGCAGATCACAAGGACGAGAATCTACAAAAAAGTATGTCTTGTCGGGAGCCGATCTCCCATCGCCGTGTCGACAGCTCGACACGAATCCCTCAACAGAGAACAGATCTGAAACCTCGCCGGAATGATTACTCAAATTGTACTCCCCCAAAATGTCTTCGGTAGGAGGTATTTGGACAAACGGGATCACAGTTTGGGCCTGAACAATTCACCGTGAAAAAAAAAAGTGAGAAACAAGACTTGACGAATGTGGAAAAAGATGTACCAATTTCGGTCCAAAAACTTCCACAATAGCTTCTTTCATGGATCCTCTTCCTTGCGTTCGCAACACCGGGGAAAGTTTCCCGTTCGAATGGACGTTTGAACAAGAGAATCTAGAAAATTTTTCAATTTCCCCTTTTTATTTTTGGGTGGAAAAATAAGCGTTTGCTTCGTTGTTCGATTCGACCAACCTGACTCCGTTTCGTACGAGAGCATAGCCGATTAGGATTTCTTCAGCTTTTGCAAATTCGTTTTTCAGACAGCTCATGAATTGTTGTCTTCTCACGGGGAACGTTTCAAACAGTTTGGCAAGTGTTATCGTCGTGCCCACCTGAAAAAATGCAACTCGAGGGTTCATTCTCCGTGAATCGGAATAAACGCTAACATTTTCAGAAAATAATTAATGTATATAATACTGCGATTACGTACCCGAAAAAGTATCGCAAGAATACCATATTTTTCCAATTTTAAAGCTTCTCGAAAATTCAATCAGAACGTCCAGTTTTTAGGAATCCTTTCTCAAATATCTTTTTCGAAAAAGTTATGTTCAGGGAAACACTTCGAAACGATGATGAGACATCAATTTACGCATGAGAAATTTCTTACTACCATTATTACAAAAAATATATACAGTACGTTTCAATATGATGATGAATGTAGAATGTCTGTTTGTCAATCGTACCAAAAATCAAGCTTCAATATGATCACAAAAAAAAATATCACACGATGAAAAATCCGAGAAACCACTAATGATCAGTGTCTCCCGCTGTCATTTCGGAAAACAAAATTTTCCAGCGAACCGAAAATTTCATAAAAAAAAAAAAAACACACAGCTAACCTGTCGAGACGCAACGACATGTTCGGAAATTTTTCCATGACGATCATAAACCAATTTTGAAGCACGTGCAGCTGCCTTGTGCTTCGTAATCACAGTTACTTCTGACAAGGCACACAATGAACTGATCGCCTCTCCTCTGAATCCATACGTCTCTACTCCTTTCAAGAGATCTTCGAATTCTCGTATTTTTGAGGTCGTGTGCTTCAGTGCTGCAAATATCAATTTAAAATTTATGCAAAAATTATTCACGCGACTTCAGCCCGTGCTTTTTTCTTCTCCTAAAAATTGCGTTAGGAACGTCAGGGCGGCCTCATGTTTGTGATGATGACATCATCTGTACATTGTAGAAATTGAAGAATGTTTTAACAAAAACCTTCCGACTGGATTTTTTGTGGAAGTATATTTTTCTGAATGCAAGAATCTACTGTTTGAAAGCTAACAATAAAAATTGACCACATGTTTTTATTCACTGAGAGGCTCCATTTTCCGTCCATTTTTAAAAATGACATAAAAAATAACCAAATACGGTAAGTATTTTGCAGTTAATGGCAGAATTTTTCCGGTTGCAATGAGTACTATGAGAAACATTGCTGAACCTAAATTTTTTTCCTCGCACACCTCGATTTGTTCAAGTAATTCTCTGTCACTCCTGAAAGATCAACGAACAAAAAATATAAACAGCTTGACTGTCATGTTTTCTCCGGTCGCAGGAAAGATGCAAACCTATCTTTCGTCTGACCTACTCAAACCTCTAGTATGACAGATATTTAAAACCCCGGAAATAAACCCTCAAGCAGCTGTAAAATGCTTGTTCCCGAAGCTGAAGCACGCTTAGTGATTTACAATTTTAAATAGATAAAGACCCATAGATTCAAGCGGGAATGAGTTAGCACCAACCCAGAGCTTCGAAATCATTTTCATGAATTCCGCAACCGTTGTCGGAAACCTCTATAGAATCCAAGCCTCGGTCTTTAAATTTGATTTCGACATTTGTCGCACCGGCATCAAGGGAATTCTCCACAATCTCCTTTACTGCTACAGCGAGACTGACGACAACCTGGAAGCAACATTCATAAAAGAATCAGACCGGAGTTCGTAAGAATGTCAGAACTTTACCTGACCGGAGCATATTTGATGTACGGACTCTTTGTCGATCGCTTTGATAGACCCACTCATGCTTAGTCAACAAATATTAAGTTTTATGGCTGTTTTTAAGAGGGTCAAGAAAGAAGAAGAATTGTCCATCACGGGTTCGCAAAGAACAGTACATCAGTAATTTAATAACCCAAGGCACTTGACACGAGAATATTTCCCAACGAGAAAATGACAACACAATTGAAGTAAACGTAACCGAGTTTTACTACTTGACTGTCCATGAACAGTCAACCACAAGATCCATCTGTCCAACCATCACGCCATCTCTCGTTGACTTTAGAACAGTCGAACAGCGGTTTTCCCAACTTCTCGTTAACTTCGTTGTGTCGCTCGCAAAGCCATAAACTCAACGTCTTCTGATTTTTCGTCACGGGAGGAAATTCTCGCAGTCTGTTGGAGCAGAAACAGTGATTACAGGAGGGAAGCCCAAACGGCAAATGTGCAGTTGGTTCAAAAATGTCGCCTAGGACCTAAAATTGATTTCAAGAGGACTTTTCGGATCCAGGAAACACATTCATTAATGTAAAACGTATCATTATCAATGCACTTCGCTCCTGTGTTGCTCCCATAGACTTCAAGGATCTTTTCGATTTCATGAATGATCAAAAAACATTGAGCTCTTCTGGAAATTCCCCGAGTGCCCAACCGTCCGTGAGGATTCCATTAACTTGAAACAATGAAAAATTAACAGCAACACGCGAAGAAAGCCCTTTTTCTTTTAATTTCAATTTTTTTTAATTTTAAACCTGCTTTGGTCAACCGCTTGTTCACCAACGGATATTTCAGGACGCTTTTCAAATTCAACACAAACAAAAAAACTCAACACTACCGGTATTTATTCTTAGCACATACTGCAGTTCTACGATTTAAGCCATTAAATAATGTACTTCATTGGATTTTAATAAGCTTGAAACAGTTGGTTGCACTTGGAAGACTAGCAAAATTAAATGACAGATGCAAATATTGCACGTCGCACAAACCTTAGGAACACAAAGATCTGAAGATTAGTGTAACAGTTTCAGAATCTGCTGGCAAATCACTTCAACCTGGACGGGCAAACAAGGAAACAATAAAACAGGGAAATCGTAAATTTAACCCCTTGAAATTTGAACATCAGAACCCCTAATTTTTAAAGAAAAAAAGGCTTCTTGACAATAAATGAAAACATAAATTACTCACGAATCACGGAAATCAGCTGCGCAAAAATCACAGGGATAAAACCGAGAGAAAAGCTTGAAAAAATTCGACATGTTCTGTTGTTGCGCAGACGTGGGGCTATCCGGGTAATAAGCAGCCATTGTGTGAAGAAATTTCCATGTGGCATTCCCGAGTTCATCTTTGTCTAAGGGACATTCCCGTTCCTCTGAAATCTTGGAGCTTTTCTTCATCTAAAATACAGCTTTCTACACTAAAATCTTCCAATACCCTCATGTGAAATGAATAAAGAATACTTCTGCTGAAGTCGACTGATTTAGCTTCATCCATGACTTGAAATCCATACACGCTCTGCAGGGTTTTTTCCCCTCTCCGTGAGACGACATCGATCTAAATGCTTCTTCCATTTCGCAATATTCTGACGCGGAAATAATAAATAATCTGCTTAAGTGTTCCTGGGAAATTTTAACATGCAAAAAAAAATGATCAAGGCACTCTTGACACATTCAATTGAAAAACAACGGCTTTCGATGCCACCATCGTCACTAAACCAGACATTAAATCAAACGTCGAAAGAGAACAATGCACTGTACGAGACCTTTTATTTCGCCACTTTAAACTTCCCCAAATTCAGCTTATCTCTCAAAGCTTCGTATTTTTTACGTTCTTCAGGGTTATTTGACGGTGACACTTTCTCAAACGCGAAATCGAAATGTTCATTGCCAACAGAGACGATACCCGGTTTAGCACTAGTTTCCGAATCGAACTTTAAAATCTCTTTCAGCGCGGCAACAGAAGCCTCTCGAACCAAAGCTGCGAGATCCGCGCCGGAAAAGCCGTCGCAACGCGGTGATCTGGCAATAGCCGCGAGGTCGACACCAGGCTTGAGCTTGGGCTTTGTGCCACCTGCTGTCAAGGCGAAAATTATGTCAGCTCTGTCGTCGGGACACGGAAGACCAACGTAGAGAATCTTATCCAGTCGACCAGGTCTAAATCAAAGGAAAACGAACGAAAACTCAGTTTTCATGTTTTTACAAACGAATCTATCGTCGGTTAAATACACAGCTGATGATCGATGCTTTCATTCCGACGAGTGCGGAATGACGAAACCCATTTATACAGTATTCACCGTTTTTTTTTTCCTTTTGAATTTTCACATTTCGGTGATTTGCGCATTTCGTAACGAAGTTGAGCATTTCAACAGAAATCGTACCAACCCCCTAGTTTGATTTGTGCAAACATCAACATAAGGCGTTTCAAAGACCGGATAGCTCATATAGATTTCAATTTTCAAGAAACCTAATAAACAATATTAGAAGATTCGTATAGTTGAGGAATACTTCTCCTCAATTACTAAAGACAGATCAATCACAACTTTTTGAAGATATTGCTGAAGTGAAACACAAATATTTTCGCTAATCTTCGAGCCTCAAAAAGTTCCGAGGGGGCTTCAAAAATTTTTTGGACGTAGAACGTTTCGGAGCACCGAGAACTGGCAGAAGACTACTAGCAGCAGTGAACGTTCCGAAGCGGAATACCATGCGAAAAAGAATACATATTGTATTTACATTCAAATTTAATTGAATTTTTATTCTGATCGAGTTATTACCATTAAAATACGTTCATTGAAGTTCTGGAAATTTCTGATTTCCGATCTCACCTTAGGACGGCGGGATCGAGGATGTCAGGTCTATTCGTCGCAGCCATAACAAAAACTCCTTTCCGTCCTCCGACACCATCCATCTCGGTCAATAGTTGATTGACAACACGGCCGGAAGCACCATCTCCTCCAGGACCCGAAGATCGTTTCGGACACAAGGAATCCAGCTCGTCAAAAAATATTACACAAGGTGCGGAATTTCTGGCTCTCACGAAACATGCCCGCACAGCACGCTCACTTTCGCCGACGTACATGTTCAACAGCTCAGGTCCTTTCACAGATATAAAGTTGATGTTGGCTTCATTGGCTACGGCTTTGGCAAGCAATGTCTTCCCGCATCCCGGAGGACCGCAAAGAAGTACACCAGATGGGTTTCCTAAGCCTAGAGCCTCAAACTGTTCTGGAAATTTCACTGGTGCCATGATACTAACTTCTAATTCCTCTCTGATATCACTCAAAGCTCCAACATCGTCCCATGTGACATCTGGAACAGTAGCAAAGCCTTCACGCTTCGCAGATGGCTGAACGGTTTTGGAAGCAGTTACAAAATCTTCATCAGTTACACACAGCGTCAACTCTGTTCCTGCCTCCAGATTCGAGAATGAACGATTCACGGCGATCATCGCAGCTTCGCGAGTCAGCGACGCCAAATCTGCACCCACGAAACCTGGTGTTCTCCTCGCCACAAGATCAAAATCGAAATTAGGCGCCAACGTGAGGTCTGCACAGAGAATGTGGAGGATTTCTTTCCGGGCTGCCATATCGGGAATACCCAAGGAAATTTCACGATCAAATCGGCCACCACGACGAAGCCCGGGGTCCAAGGAATCAGGGCGACTTGTAGCACCCACAACAACGACCTTTGAGCCGTTGACGTGACAGGCCATATCATCTAAACAAGACACAAGTTGCGCGACAACCCGACGTTCCATTTCTTTTCCAGCAGTTTCTCGCTTCGGCGTGATTGAGTCAATTTCGTCGATAAAAAGGACACACGGTGCCGCATTTAGTGCAGCTTCAAAAACGTCTCGTAGTCTTCCTTCACTTTCACCAGAAACCCCACTGATCATTTCAGTCGCAGCAACCTTTATCAAGGGAATGCCGAGTTCTCCGGCAACGGCTCGGCCCAGTAAAGTTTTACCACTTCCCGGAGGTCCATGTAAGAGGAAGCCACGAGGTGGTGAAACACCGATTTTTGCGAACACCTCCGGATGTTCCATGTGGAAAACGAGTCTTTTTATCTCCTTCACTGCAACCTGTGCCCCACCAACATCACAGAATTTTACTGAAGGTATTTCCGGTGACACATCGATTCCTTTGGATCGTTTCTTCTTCGGCTGCGATGCCGTTGATTCTTCATTATTTCTTCTTACAGCGTTTGAGGGACGAGGTTTCTTAGCGGGCGACCCCTGCGCTGCTGAACTAGCACCGGAATGGTACAGTTTCGATATACTGGAGTTCATTGAAGTCTTCTGAATATCAGCATAAACTTCTTCCAGAACTTGCGGCATATCATCATCTTCATCGACGATCGTTTCACTGTCACTTGACGGGATTCCCAGGTCTTGACGAAGTATAGAGTAACACTTCTCGACGGATCTGCGAAAACTTCGCTTCTTCTTACGTCGATACTCGGGAAATCTGGCTTCTAACTCAGCGATCATATCGTCGATTGGAGTCAATGAATTGTCATCAAGGCCACCGACACTTCTTTTTTCGTCCACCAAGTTTAGTTATGCTCCTTAGTTGAACACCAGTTGATCCATGCCGTGAGAACCTTCACCCTAGCCTCCCTGTGCGACGAGTATAACGCCGTAAACACCGCGCGCCAGAGATAAAAACCTTCGGTAGTGTGTGTTCTCCTAAAATCAGGACAATTCCAAGCATTAAGCCCTTTCATCAAGAACCACTGAACCACCCATGAAACTGAACGGGGACATTCCACAACGTGTACATCTTCGACAACTGGAACATCTGCGCACGATTCTCACGGTTCATCCATCGCCTTGGATTTCGCTTAATGAATCGATGGTTTCACAAGCTTTCACAACACTAACTTGATCAATCCGCTGATCGCATTCGAGTCCGCCGCTCTCCAATGCAGCCTGCCACACCAGCATGAGGCAGCTGGGAGCGTAACGGAGCGCCCTCTGTACGTTGGACGAGGATGCTGCCTACAGGGACACGCGTAGGGTGCTGCGTGGGATAATGGGCTTGGGCAGGGTGAGAAATTGGCATGCGAAATTATTATTTCTTTTTTACTGTATGGCAAGTATTTACAATGCTGTATATTTTTAAACACTTTCAGCGAGCAGATCCCTGAAGCCAGAAAAATGTTCAGACTTACTTTTGTATCACTCACTACTTTATATTAATTTAATAGAAAATGTACCTGCAAATACATGGCTCAGCTTGGCATTAGATTTTTTTCTGAAGAGATGAAGCATGGATACATGATTTCTTCACGCATACAAATACGAGGAATCAACTTGTGGTCAACTAGGTACGGCACTCTTGGAAGTGGGATCGGAGGGACACGCTGCTCATATTGCGGCATTTGTGGCGCGCGGTCTCTATTTTTGGAAGCCATCACACACAAGATCTAAAATCAGGACAATTTCAAGCATTAGGCCCTTTCATCAAGAACCACCCATGAAACTGAACATGACATTCCACAACGTGTACATCCTCGACAACTGGAACATCTGCGCGCGATTCTCACGGTTCATCTATAGCCCTGGATTTAGCTTCATGAATCGATGGTTCCCCAAGCTTTCACTACACTAACTGAATCAATCCGCTGATCGCATTCAAGTCAGCCGCTCTCCATTGCAGCCTGCCTGCCACACCGGTGTTGCATGAGGCAGCTGGGTGCGTAACGGAGCGCCCTCTGTACGTTGGACGAGGATGCTGCCTACAGGGACACGCGTATGGTGCTGCGTGGGATAATGGGCTTGGGCAGGGTGAGAATTGGCATGCGAAATTATTATTTCTTTTTTACTGTATGGCAAGTATTTACAATGCTGTATATTTTTAAACACTTTCAGCGAGCCGATCCCTGAAGCCAGAAAAATGTTCAGACTTTGAAAACATAGTGAGTGATGAAATATAATTAAATTATCTTTTACATGGACGTTTATGTACCGAGTCGAACCGTAATCTAAAAAAAGACTTCTCTACTTCGTACCTATGTACTAAAGAAGTGCGTATGTATATATTACAACAGCTTCTTGTTAGAGATGTAAATTTCTCCCTCCCTCCTTATTGGATTTATATATTTCAGAGGATTTTTTATTGCAGTTGTAGAGTAATACAATTTAGTATTACTCTACAACTGCAATAAAAAATCCTCTGACAATTTAGGTTTCCCCATGCATGTGGGAATCTCGTTTGATAGCCCAAATTATGCTTATTTACAAAGGCACAGTATATTCACAGGTGGACTCCCTCTTGAGAAATCAAAGGGACCAGAAAAAATACTGTAGTTACAGAGAAAATTTCATATTAGAGGAAATCAAACGCATGGGGAGAGAGCCCTATATACGTGCATGAGAAAATAATAAAGTTTCTAAAAAGCAAAATCATTGTAGACAAGACTGTTGGAGAGAGAGAGATTCTCTTGAGATTCATTGTAACAAGATTCCACAGCACAATATAATCTCCTTACAACAAATTGTTGACACAAAATTGAAATAACATTGTGCTACAGGTGAACCTTGAAAACTCAAACCTCCCTAAGTTGAATTTTTCCAGATCCCTGCCTGAATCCCCTTAGAAACAATACATCAAAAACCTCCCTAAGTCAAAGGCTTTTCCCCTCAAACCTCTCAAAGTTAAATTTTCTGTGGCCTGTTAGCTATTACTTTCTTTACACATGAAAGAAAAAAACAATAAAAACATAAATTTATGTGTTTCAAAAGGAAGTGAAAGACTTAATTGGGGTAACCCCTGTCTACAGATTCCGTAGCATCCTTTCAACTTATTTAAGAAGCAATTTAAGCCCCAGAATACCACCATTCACAATTTTGGGCAATTTTTCCCAGAACAAAAGAGCTTTGTATTGTAGCTCAAACCTCTATAATTTAAAACCCAGCTCAGTTGAAATTTTTTGCTTGGCCCTTGAAATTCGACTTAGAGGTTCAGCTGTGATTGGACAGGAATAAAAATAAATTTCATTGTGAGGAATAATTTGTCAAAAGAAGATTCTACCGTATGTATATAACCCATCTATCCAAGACCAGAACTGGAAAGCAATCACTGTACTTTACTGTGACCCGTAAAAAAAACTATACCATATACCGGTGTACGCCTTGATTTTCATCGCTGGGACGTCGAGAAAGCCTCAATACGTGATGTCCCTTTCGTATCTGTATAATAGAAGCGTAGTCGGCCTCATAAAAACAGAGGAGCGTGCTGCGAATCCGTTCCCCGGAGATGCGTGCTATGGGGGCTCGCAAGCTCGTGAGAGGAATCTGAAACAGATCGGAAGTGGCCCATTTTTTCGGACCTATACCCAGCTAAAAATTGGAACACTCCACCAGCAACGCATATCTTCTGCTGTACTGCTGCTGTAAGGCATCAGTTGATGGCGGGAAAGTCAGACGTGTCATACAGTGAGAAGTTTTCGCATTGACAAAACAACCGGTGCGACCAAATTGTTCATTATAAGCGAAATGTAGAAACCGTGGGTAATTGCTTTGATAATGCGGATTATATTCGCGATTGCATTAATTCAGTTTGTAAAGAGAAAATCAACCAAAGGAATTTTTTTTCAGCTGATGGTCAATCGGTCATGCCGATTTGTATCTCTTGAGAGAAGTGCGAACTGTTCAGAACACGTAGGATAGGAAAAAAAGTAAGGCAAAAACATCGAGGTGAAACATGAAAGAAATCTGCAAAATCGTTTGACCATGAGCTGAAAAAACAAATTCCTTTGGTGGGTTTTCCCAGGTATTTCTTATTGGTTTTAGAGATTACTTCGATCATCAGATATACTGTATACTCAGGGAACTTAGGCTAATACAGTACTGTGTACCATTTATTATTCTGATGTTCACCTGGGTATGTAGTATTAATTACTGTATATTCTAAGTATCCTTGACGTTTGTTTTTCTTAGTGTTTCTATCTCATCTAAAACTTATATACGCTCGACTTCTTTATAACCTGATTTAAAGCACTAGAATTTTTACATAGTCTGTCCTAATAGAGGGCGCAACACTACTACAAGAAAAAATCAACGAGAATATGTGTCTACTAAGGAATATCTTCCTTTATAATTAAAACTTTGATGATTCTTTCTGGGTGTTTTTCTCCTGCCAGATACAACTCCATACAGCAGTATGTGATTTCTAGCACTCCAACCATGGAAATTGGGAATTTATCCGGAGTTGCGATGCTTCTTATCCTCGCTTTATCCTCCACTAATGGAAATCCGGAAACCTCGGCAACTTCTGTGAGTATATTATTAAAAAAAAAAAGAAGTCAGGGCGCTATTCCAGTACAGTGACCAGAACTGGAATAGCGCAAAAATCAAATTGATCTTTCATGCGATCTACTCCGTGAAAGGTGGGGAATCTGACAAGATCTAAAAGTGCAAGACAAGCAGAGAGTTATTATGAAAAATACGAAGGCTTGGCCGTGGCCAGCAACGATCTCGGAAAATTCAAGGATTTGCTATCCCCGATCCTCAAGCGACGAGTTTCTGGGACTCCGGCTCACGCTGCTGTCAGACAAGTTGGTAATCCAATATCCTGCGCTTTCATCCCACGATTTCGGTCATTTGATTCATTCCCCCTTTTTCAATTATTCCTCTGTTCGTTTCATCGTAAAGGTGAAACACATTTTGCATTTACGACAGTGTGATTTGCACCAGAATGACGAAACTACATAAATGCGAGGGTTGGTTCGTAAAAGATGATGAACAGGCCCTTACCATCATCAGAGGCAGATGCAATTTTTTCTTTTGCTCCTCAATCCTTCATTGGTATCTAATAAATTTTTTATCCACTATACTCAGCTTGTCAGCTATACAGATGGAAGCAAGAAAATACCTCACAGTCAATGCTCTCCACTGCAGTAAAGTTTAATGGATCAAGAGGAGCTGCGCAATGATCAAGTGATCAATTAAACTTCACTTCAGTGCACTTCTTTCACGAACCAACCCTTGTAAGTACAGAAGTGTGAAACCGCAGGGACATACTTTCAAAAAAATCGCGCTTTTCTCAAAAATACATGCACAATCTATTGTAACATTATGTAAATCAGGGATGTCCGCGAATTTGCGTGAAGAATATTTTTGAATATAGAGCTTGTTCTCTGTTAAAAAACTAACACTGTTGGTACTGGAAAAGCACTGTAAGTACTTGAAGAACTGAGTCTACTGAGTCTATAAATTCGTGCATCGGGGATTGTGTAACGTCTTACCGTGTATGCACAGCGGGAATATTGTACGCGTTTACATCACGGAATTCAGATGCTGAAATATATTTCCAGGCGTTGAGAGACTTTTTTGAAAATGCTTTTCTGATAATTTGGGCCTTATTCCGCCATCATTATGAGGAGTACATTAAAGTATCTTATATATTTCCCCTTTTAGATTCGAATCTCTCCTGAAAAATGATTTGATCAAAATTATCCATGAATTCATCGTAGTTTCTCGAGTTGTCCCGTCATTGTACGCAAATCATGCTGGTCATTCGCAGCACGTATCAAAAACTCTGACGGACTACGGATTCACCGTGTGGCATCACGAATTCAAGGACAGAGTGCCCGTCGTAGACCTGGTCATTAGAGGTCAAGAACTCAGTTTCACCAACATCGTCGCAACGTATCATCTGGACAACACCAACGGCCCTAAACGCAAAAAGCTGATCCTAGCTTGTCACTACGATTCCCTGTACGCGCACGCACTCAGCTCATTCGTTGGTGCCACGGATTCTGCCGTACCGTGCGCCATCTTGCTTGACATCGCACGAGTTCTCGCACCGCTGCTCTCCAAGGTCGAAAACGTGAGTTTCAATTCCAAACGGATTCCATAACACTGCATGACGCATCAGTATTGTGTTTCAACTCGGTAATGTGGCCAGAATTCCCATTTGCACCTTTATCTCTCTACATTCGAACTACGCAAACGCAGACATTTGCATTCAAGTAATGAGAAGTTCGCCTGTTCAATGCACTGACGAGAACTGCTCTGTGAAATATAAACGCGTCAGAGCAAAAATTTCATGAGTCAACGTACTGACACATATGGGACCAAAAAAAATTAGTTTTTATCACCGTAAGTTCGCAATCATATTTCATGAAGACTCGTCGGTGACAAAGTGTGCTTCAAAGAAGAACAAATAGAGTTCGAAACGGACCAAACGAGAAATTGAAGCCCGAATCGTTTTGCTTGATGGATAAACATTTTCCAGCCCTTTTCCTTGACCAAAAGACGTGAACAAATTTGATCATATATAAAATGTATTTTCTTCATTCCAGTCCTTGTTTTTTCTATATAGCCTTTTCCAAAAGCAAAAGAACGCAAAATTAGACGATTTATTCCAGGCTAAGCAAATTATTCATTCCAGGGTAGTACATCTTATGCACATTGTATAGGGAATGTTTCTCTCCCATACGAAATTCAATATGCAGTACATTGATCAAAATTTTCATAGTTAATATTCAAGCGGGCGTCGGGTGGACGCTGCAATAGACGGGTGGCCCGACACCCAAGGGAGATGGAAAACGACACATTGGGAGTCGGGGCCGACGCATAACGCTGGCGCGCCGGCAGCACGCTGGCAAGTAGCCACACAACTCCGAAATTTTTTGCTGGGTATAGCCTTTTCCAAAAGCAAAAGAGCGCAGATCAGACGATTCATTCCAGGCTAAGCAAATTATTCATTCCAGGGTAGTACATCTTATGCACATTGTATAGGGAATGTTTCTCTCCCATACGAAATTCAATATGCAGTACATTGATCAAAATTTTCATAGTTAATATTCACGGAAAAATACGTCCATCATGGACTTGCTCATGCATACATGGAAGGTGTAATAAAATAATCCTTTTTAATTTTCAAAAGCAAGGGCCAGCACCCATGCAGCTCTTACACTCGCAGCTTTTGTTGCTGGATAAAATCTTCCCTTAGTTTCATTCTATAAATTTTCCCACCAGGACTCATGACCATGGATTTGATGAACTCGGCTCCACCAGTAAGCAGCAGGTTCTTATCCGAAGTTTTTCCTGAAAAAATGAGTCCATTAAAACGTGAATACGATAGGAAATCATTTAAAGAAATACAGATTAGGTTTGGACAAATTTTTTAAACGTAGTGGAAATCAGTCAATGCCGGTCTATGTATCCTGAAGAAATAGTTTTGATCGGTAGTAGTAAAGGAAAGGTGTGTGTATCCAGAATTCCCCGCAATCGTATGGACCCAAACTCTTGCCATCAACAATTGAAACGACCTTTCAAAAATAGTTTAAATACGATAAATGGTTAAAAATCCAGGCATCCAAACTGCAAATGCATAAATAATGTCGCGACGACAATCCCATTTTTTTTGAGTGAAATGAACGAATAAATACTGACTTTACACTTGGTTCGTGGAGCCAGAACACCCAATCCTGCCTCCTGTTCTGAGCACATCAACGTGGAAGACGAAACAGTCAGCATCATTTCAGTGCTTCCATACGTCTGAAAATTAGGGGAAAACATATACAAAAATGAACTTAAATAGAAAGAGGACATACCAAAAACTAGACTATTGAAGTAACTAGACAAAGGTCCTCATCCTGTATCTTACTTCTTGTTACAGTACTTGTTTTTGTACTTGTGTTCATATTCTTAGAGTCTTCAGTTGCAAAGCACCTCAGAAGGGCAAGTAAAGAGCCTCTGCAAACTCCATCACAGAGCTTAGGTTGGTTGATGGGACTAAACTTAAATCAAGATACGGAGTAACGTACGCTTAGATATATATGTTCAAGAATATTTATTTTTCTTCGAATTACCGATGAATAACTAGAAATCCTTAATTAAATACTTCACCTGAGATATAGGGCGGTTCAAGTTGGGGAAAATGTTTCGCATAACAGCGACAATTGACGCAGGAAAAATGGCAGCACCAGCACTCATCCGACAAACCCGAGACAAATCAAATTCTTTCCAAGTTTCTTCTGGTAGCTTTGTCAAGTACATGGCGTCTTTTGGGTACAGCCAAACAGTCGTCACCTGAGCAGGTTCAACATAATTTTCAAATATTGGCAAAACACAAATTTTGGATTAGCTAGCGTGGAAAATGAAGAAGACGCGTGAGAAATGACCTTATTCTTTTTTTAAGGCGTCCTTTTAGGATAGTTTCCCATTAAATTACTCATTTTATAACTTTTGTTAAGTTGCGTTTTTTGCGATAGATGCGGTTCAATGTCAAGCACATGGCGTATTTTAGACACAGTCAAACAAATATTTTCAAATAATTATTTTCAATTAATTTTCAAATATTGGCAAAAAAATGAAATTTTGCTTATCGATCGCACTTTTTACTTCTTCTGCACACTCTTTACTGGAATAAAAAAAAAATTCCGCAGGAAAATCCTATCCCAGGTAATTTATTGAGTAGAATGCTGAACACAATTCACCGCAAAAAACCAATTGATGCGGTTCAATGTCAAGTACATGGCGTATTTTAGACATAGTCAAACAGTTGTCACCTGAGCAGATTCAAAATACCGTAATCTTCAAATATTCTTAACATGTCCATTTTTCCCAATCGATCGCATTTTATTCTTCTACTGCAAACTTGGAATTTTCAAAAAGTATCTCGTGAAAATCCGATCCTAGAGTAAATTTATCGATTAAAGCACATAATGCAAAAAATCATTTGATGCAATTCGACAAAATGCAGAAAAATAAATGCACCTTGTATCGCTGAATGGCACCAAGCAACATGTCTGGTTTGTACTGCGAAAATGATATTCCAGCACTGGCTGTGAAGAAAAAAAAAATCTTATTTTAAAATTCCTCTTGGTCAACTGAGTAATTACTTTTGAATAGGTTTGGACTTGATTAGTGCGAGTATTTGCGTTTCTTAGGTGGCTATACGGGCACCAAGTGACACGTGTTGGCGTGTAGAAGAAGTAGAAGAGGTCACTTTAAAGACCTTAGACCATTCATAAAATCAAGTGACACACGGTATCAGATTTGTAAAACGCCATTTCACAATAACCTTGAGACATTTCTGAGTTTAATTTGGATTAAATTCGAAATAAACTTCCGCTTTAAAAATAAAATTTATACAGCTTCCTTTGCATATGATTCTTGCCAAGTGTGATTCATCCATGTTGTCAATAAGTTTGAGATGATTTTCAGGTTTTAAATAAAACTAAAGAATTTGATTTTACTACAACCAGGGTGATTAAACAACATATTCTGACGTTGATTTATTTTTCTGAAGCTGTTGCATATAAAACCACAAAATTTTGCCGAGTACTCTGGAAATCCTTGCAGTACTGCAGCCTGAGTCAAAGTGAAGTCCCTATCTTGGGATTTTCAGGAAGAAGGATTTTCAAGGATGCGGAATATTTCCACTGAGATTTTTATTTTGATATTGCTACAGATTCAAGGATTTTATGACCATTGAGTTGTTTCTGTTTCCCCATGAGAGTTGGGGTGGAACCCAATTTGCATGGAAGCTTCCAAGGACAGGTTTTGGAAAATCACCAAAACGTGTCTTTTCATGACTAGGCGTAGAAACAAATTTTTAAGATGGAGCTTTCTTTGAGATACAGAATCAGTTTCAAATATATAAGCAAACTTGATAAATTACCGTTTTCTTTGGAACGGCTGACTAAATTTGTGACACATGTGGGTGCATTAATCTTCGAGAAATATAATACATAAATAAATTCATTCATTCGTAAATATGTTTATAATTCCACGAAAACATTTCTCTGGAGAGAGCTTCATTGTGAAAATCTCGATATTATATTCATGCATGCACAGGGAACATATTCATAATTCCTCAATTGTTTCCTACGGCACTTCTTCGTCTATAACCAAGACCGAGCTAAAATTTTAAAAACTCAACTACCGTTTTTCAGACACGCAAATAAGGTACATATTTCAGGTACCTGTGCAGTACTTGAAAAAATAAAACTCACCCATCATTGTTATACGTGAATGAAAGAAGAGAACGATGTGTGTGAGCAATTGCTTTCGGTGGCCCCGTGCTTCCACTAGATAAAAACGTAAGGCACACTTCATCTTGGTCGATTTCCGGAAATTCTGTGAATTTTTAAACAAGAATCCAGACTGATTAATTTCCAATCTTCTCGAACATTAATCCTTTAAAGTCTTTCGTAACGTCATTCAGTCAAAGAAGACAAGCAATAAAAAAAACACGTTATCTCTCCGTGTCATAAAATAAACCTCACTCTTCAATCTGAAAATTTGAAATTAAATCTCAGAATTTCAAACAAAAAAGAGGCTAATATATCTCGAAAATATTCTTCAAAACACAGCACTTCCCAAAAATGTATGTACAGGAACCACAATTAAGAAATGCTTGCTTCAAAACACAGTTCAGCAGAAGCAAGCAACTAAAAAAAAAAAAAAAAAGTGGGGGAAAACTGCAAGAATAAGATGGACATCACATTTTAGTATTATTCAACATCAATGTTTTAATTGAGGATTACAAAACGAGGCAAAAAAAGGATCGATTCCAAAAATTGAAAAAAAAACCTTAAGCTATGGGGTTCAAAAAGATGAATGGATAAATGTACTGCATTTCACATTTTCCCCATAATTAATTCACAGAACACACACAGTAAAAATATCAGAAATAATTTGAATAACTGGCAGCAGACTGACTCAAGAATAAAAATATCAAAAATATTGGAAGAATTAACCACAAATTTCTTGAATCCCAGCAGCTGAAGACTTTATAATAATAAAAAAGTTTTATTCAACTCCCCATAGAATCAAAAATTTTTTTTATTCCGTCAAAAAAAAAAAGACTCTCACCAATGTTTTTGTCAGCGTTGCCCGTCGCAATGTTTCTCACATCAAGATAACCCGCATGGGTTCCTGACATCAAGATGATTTGCGATCTGACCCGATCTTCATCAGATGATTTCTCAAATGCCTCGTCGACATATTTCTCTATCTCCAGTAATGACGAATGATCGCAAACAATGACAGGCACGTTCTCTTCGGCCAAGTGAGTCGGAATGCAATCTGTTTCACATCGAGGGTTCGGGCGTCTAATTAATTCCGTGAGGCATTTTTCATGGATTTCAAGAGGTGCTTGATCAAAATCCAAAGTTTTCAAAGACATGAAGCAAGCATTTTTCTTCTTCTCATTTTTTTCAGAGGTACAGTATGTTGATATGGTGGAAAGTTGATATGGTGGAAAGAGTTTTTGAGGTAGTCGAATATGTTAATTATGGCAACAATCCGGCGAAGAAGGGATTTTGTATTTTTTTTTCAAACGAAGATGTAAATAAGAGTTCTTCTAGAAAAGTCGCAGATTTTGTTTTTTTTTTTCAAACGAAGATGTAAATAAGAGTTTTCCTAGAAAAGTCCAATTGCTGGAATGTAAAACCCTGGCACTAAATGATTTCGAACTCAGACAAAAAATTTCATCAGACACTAAGATTTAGCGCTCATTCATTTTTACAAACCAACACAAAACATGAAAACAAGTTCTTCATTTTCAAAACTAATTTTTCGATAAAAAACGAATTTGAATAAAAGCAGGAGCACTTCAAAAGACGCTAAGAAATTAATATAAGCAGTTAAAACTTGTTAAAATTTAAGAATGACCTGACAATGCTTACATTTGTTTCTTGAGAACGACCTGCCATGATTTTACATGAAGCAAGGCTCGATTAAAAAAATAAACTTCAGCATTATTTTTCGAATCTTGAACACTTGAAGTACGAAAAACTCAATCACCAAATCTACGCATGGTTTCCATAAAAATCTCGCGGAAAATTTCCATCATAATACTGTATTTTCACGATCAACTGCACAATGGGCTGGGAATTATTTGAAAGTACTGCACGTAAAATTCAGCTGACAAGACGCTCAAAACTTTCTCCAACATTTCAAGCTATCTTCACTCAGAAAGAATGCTGATTTTTGTCATTCATTTTACTGAGGAACAGTAAACTGTTTTTTCTTTTCTTAAAAAAAAAAACTCACTGGAGGAATAATCAGGTACTGTAAATGCCACTGCTCCCAGAGCAACAGCAGCGTAAACGGGAATGAAAAAGTTGATGTCATTCTTGGAGCACACTAACATCACCGACCCTGGTCCAACTCCATACTTTTCTTTCAAAACAGCAGCAGTTTTCTTCACCATGGTCAGAAAACTTTGAAAAGATATCTTCTCATCCGTAGCTCCATCGATCTTCGAAAAAAAAATCCAAGTTGTCAGCAGTTATCAAATCTCGATTCGGTTTTCACAGTATTTTTTTCCCAGGAGGGTTTCGTGTGACTCACCCACATGTCTTTGTCTCCAAATTTGGCGATTATTTCGGCAATTCTTGCCTCTGTGTAACTCCATAGAGTTTTATCTTTTGCCAGGCCGGGTTCTTTTTCCGGCAAACGGCTCGCCAAAATTTTCTCTTCCTCATTACCCATAGCTTCCGATGAATACAAATAAAATACTGTATTGTGCTGTACTATAAGGCAGCAAAAATGCTAAAAAAATATATACGGTAGAAATCGCTATACAAGTAAAATATAATCGAAAGTCACCTGAAAAATAGGCTATGAAGAAAATTTAAATACAGTATCATATGTGGAGCAACTCGAGGCAGCATAAATAAAGTTTAGAAGAATTAAAACATAAAAAAATGTGCATGAAATCGATCTACTGCATCTAAAACCTGATTCGTCATAAGTAGAACACATTACGTTCGTGTAGTAAATTACCATCTAAACATAAATCAACCTTTAATAATACGTCCCCCGTGATTAACACGAATAGGAAAACAATTGAAGCATTTTTAACGCATCAATCGAGTAAAAAAAATGCTCTCGCAAAGAAGTCGTGAATCATAATTGTCCACAGTCAACTCAGTCTATATATTATTGTGGAAACTTTTTGATTTTTAGATATTCAATACTTCAATATCACCACCTTTTACTAAATTCACAAATATTTTCCTCGTCAAAAATGAGTTCACAGCAGCAGTTTGAAATACATTAAAAAAACAAGCCTGTTTTTAGGGTCTGATACATCAATCAAGATGGTAAAGGAAAAACGGAAAAGGCAATCAGTCAACTGATGAAGATATTATTTCGTTTTCATTGATCCCCCAACTATTTTTGCTTCGAATTCTCTATACAAAAACCTGATCATGTAACTGCTGGAACCAATACAGGTTTTTACTTCGAATCAATTCAAGAAGATTCACTGAGTAAATAACGAGCTTGACACTGCTGCTGCAACTCGTCCACAAATTTCCCACATACAGTACAGTACTGTACATACGAGGAGAGTTACAGCACGTTTCTGCGCGGACTTGAAATGATGTCAGAACATCAGGGGTTTTAAAAAACCTTTTTCTCACGTTCAGGCTAGGCAAACACCTTCTCGAGGAAATGAGCACCAATTTTTACACTCAACTCAGCCCTTTTGATCCATTCATGTTTTGAAACATGCCTTGAAATGTTCAGTTTTTATTTTATTTTATTTTTTTAAGCTCCCGGCCCCAGAACAGGAGCATCAATAACAAGCTGGTCCGCGCGGAACCGTGTGACCTCCCTCGTACACGCTCAACCTTGTGTAGCGCCGTTGACGGTTGCTCACTCACGCGCTGGGTGTTTAACTCAGCGAGAAAAACTGTGTCTACTCCACGACAAAGAAAGGGGCTAGTGTAGTCTATGCCTTCGGGCTATTGGCTATAACATAACATGTTTCAAACAAACCAGCGAGAAAATGCTAGCACGAATACACTGTTTACGCGTCACGTTAAATTTCCGTGTCAGCCGAAAAATAAACAAAACAAAGGGAGCATGAAAGAACACTGATGAGGAGGATAATAGGCCTAATAGGATAAATTAGACTTTCAACAACCGCTTGGTTATTTCTTGGCTTTTTTCAAAGTTTTATGCCGTCCAATTTCTGTATTTACGTGCATATCAAACACGCACACACACACACACACCTTTTTCCAAGATTGAAGGATTAAAAATGAGGATGTGCTTCATAAGCGGTTATATATAGACATTTTAAATTTTTTTTTAAATTTACACGTGCCTCAGTGAGGCCCCCACATGCAGACACTTCGACATAGGGACATTTATTTTTTAAGAAAAAAATCATTAAAAAGGCCCGAAATATGGACACTGACTCAACATGAGGACATTCCATGATAAAATTGCCAAATTTAAAGTGTTTTTAACCGAAAATAATCCGAACTAATTTTCTTTGTCTATAAAGGTTGGGGTGCTAGATACGTTCTTTTTAAGAAACAATGAAAAGGGGTAGTGAAAGGGTAGGTAAGTCGATTAAAAAAAAATTACCTATAGCACAAAGGGACTTCATTCTCTCTTTGTGACTTTGATGTCATTTTCACAGATGCCAACATTTCAATGAACTGTACAGTGGTATAGTATTCAATGCTCCAAATGTTCTTATTGGGTTGAAAAGATAATCACTGAATCAAATTCAAGTGGAAAATTTTTTTTCTTCATGGAATTCTGAAGTATATTCCTTCCACAAAACACCAATTAAAAAATTATATAATGTAAGTCCATGGGAAAACAAGACTCGACTTAGGGATAATTAAACTTACGGACACTCTTTATGCACCAACTATGTCCGCATCTGGGGATCTCACTATTGTCCTATGATTTTGCAAGGTTTTTACAATTTTGCAATTTACGAAGGAAATCATCGGTTGTCAATTGAGCATTCAAACAAACTTGGAAATGTGCTTACAATTATTTTCGGGGATATGGCGCGAAAAAATAAGATCGACAGTCTGCAGCGTTCCTGTCCTATTTCTGCGCATCCTGTGTAGAACTCAAAATGTTTCAGAGATGCTGGTATGGAAAATCAATCATCGATAAAAAAACAAAACAAATGGCGGACACTTTAAGGAACTTAAACTAAGTTAAAGTGTTTTTATTTCACGGCTTAGCCTAAAAAAAAGATGCTTGAAAAGTCGGCCTTTGCTGTGAGGTCGATTAAAAGATCGATGGTGAGGAAGCATTCAAACGATGGTCCGACACGGATTCATTGTACGGATCCAGGAAACTTGCTTCTGAATGGCAAACCAGCGGAGACTTGCAAAACATCGTGAGGAATATAAGATATTCATGGTTTTTTTTTTAAATAAACCATATGCAGGTCTTCACATTTTTTTAGTTCCGGTTTTGAAATTCACCAAGTTCGTACACGAGAATAAATTCGATAAGAATGGGTTTCTCGTTTTCATCACCACAGAGAGAAGCGTCAAAGATAATTTAAATTAAGATGTGGGTAGTCGTCCTTCCACCTTACTAAAATTAAGAGACTTGTTGTCATTTTAATGATTTTACAGATCTAAAGTTTAAGCCAAGGAGCAAAAGTCACTTATAGTTGAAAATAACCTCCATTTTGAGAAATACTGCTTACGAAGGTGGATGAATATATACCATAAACTCCAAATGAAACGCTCTTGTACTCATAAATAAGTTTTCCTTGTTTATCGCCACGCAGATTCTTCACAATTTCTTTTATACGCAAATTAAGACCTAGTTTTCCTCACCACAGATTAATTGATTAATTTTCATTTTCTTAGCAGCAGCAGTAAAATTACCAAAATGTATGAATTTCAAAGTCGGTTCACGGTCTTTAGTGTTATACTTATGAGGCTAACCTTCAATTTTAAAAAATACACGAAATCGGATGAATATACGGAATAAACTATAAATAATATGCTCTTGTACACATATGCAATTGATCATGCTGCTGATTTCAAACTCCAAAAAAAAACTGGGTCAAGTATTTAGTTTCTCAAAACTGATTCGAAGACTCGAAACGGAGCCTACATGAACAATGTGGAGAAAGTGTAATATAAAAAAATGCTTCTTAAAAAAACTCTCTTCATAATGTTGATATAATATCGACGTTTCTCAAAACTGATTTGAAGACTCAAAAAGGGAACCTATATGAATGTGGAGAAAACAATGTGGAGAAAAGGTAAATATAAAAAATGCTTCTTAAAAAAAAAAACTCTTTTTATAAGGTCGATATAATATCAATAGCATGATGTCATTGTATTTGTAAAATTAAATTCTAGATTCCATTATTAACACCTCCTCTGTATTAATTCCGAAAAACTGCATCCAACTTGATAATGAAATCACATCCTTCATTTTTTCCCCTCTGAAACATACGTCGAAAAAAAAAAACACGAACAAAAACAGGATGCCATGATTCTCCTGGATCTTCTGGGCACGGATATCGGGTTCGATTGCGTGTCATCCCGACGCTCAGCATGGGTTCCCTTTTCTGGTCAAGTTGCCGGAATTAATAATCGCAAGGACGGGCGTCAATTCTGGACATCACTGTTCGGCCTTCCCAAGATCAGTTCTTACATGCAATCGACGCAAAACATTTACGATAAATTTTTGTCGATTCAAGATCACCTTCGGAACAAGCGACTTCTTGTGGCCCACGATGGTAAAGGGAAGTACTGCAAGTACTTCCGGTCCGAAACGGCTTATGGGACCAACATTGCAGACGACCATGTGCCGTTCATGAACAAAGGTGGGAAATGTGAACAACTCTGGGATCGCGGAAAAAAAAAATCAGCTTTCCATATACCAAAGGCAATTATTTTCTACAGCATTTACAGTACTTTAGTACAGGTGGTGCCTCGCAATTCGAGGGTCAAATTTGCAGAGGGAGGTTGACTTGCAATTCGACCGTTGCCCC